CCTCACCCCCCCTCCGCAATCACTTCTGAGGAGAGGCACCCCCGTGACTTCACTTTATTATGCCTCCCTAATTAAACAAGAAGAGGACATTAAGGAGGAAGGGCGGTGTGAAGAAGACAACATGTCTAAAATAAAATATATTCATGTTCTTAAAAAAAAAAAAAAAAAAGTTCAGGGAAGTGTGTTTTTTTTTTTTTTAAGGTCTCCAGCTAATAGCCATCAGAATAAAACGTTGTGAACGAGGTTGGCACCGCACTCAAGGAGCAGAAGTAACGCTTTTATATGGTTATTTTTGCCGGGTGTTTTACTCTCTCCTCCAGCTCATTGCTGCTGAGACCATAAAGTTACGTTGTAACTCGATCTGTACAACATTAAAATGACCAAAAATCCCACTGCACTAGGATTTAAATATGGCTTCAGTTTAAACTCTTTATATATGGGGGGGGGGGGGGGTATCAGTAGAAATCAGCTGTTTCTCCTGCCTGAGGTAAAAAAACAGTGACTGTGCATGACTTCCCCCTTGACCTGTTACTTGCCTCACAAGCGTCACAGAGTCCTGGGTTCGATTCCCGGAGGAAACACATGCTAACAGCATATCTGCTGCTAACACAACAATACAGTACAAACCTATTTACCACATGGTAATTTATCATAATGACATTTACACATATTTGTCACAACTTCTGTCAAATTTGCAGCCTGACTCCCCTGCCTGTGTTTGGAGAGAGTGTGGCTCAGAGAGACGCAGCGTGGGGTAAAAAGGACGACTACAGATGTCTGAGCTCAGTACTTAAAAAAAAAACAAAAACATGCAAAACATATTTTTTTTTATAAAGCAAAGAACTAGCTTTAAAAATGTGCATCTTAAAATACCTGAACATAAAGCAGTGTTTCATGAACTAATGACGATGATGATGTAAATTTAAACCAAACAAACAAACAAACAAACGGCCAGGAAGAACGTTGACTTGTGTGTTACTGATCAGCTGAGTCTCTGTTGAGCTGTCCACACATTTCTGTCTTTTTTTTAAAAAGGAGCAGTGAAACTGTATTTACTATTCACTGTCTCACAGATAAATATGCAGTGAGTCATTGAAGCCCATTCTGTGATGAAGAACCAAATAAAAATGACCACACCGAGCTGCCTACACACAACACGACACAACAACACAAAACAAGTTTGTTTTCTTTTCTCAATCCTACCAAAAAATCTGCACAGAAACAGAAACAGAAACAGTCTATTATTATTATCACAGTCTAAACATTTTTAAATCGACCAATCAGAAACTGTTAAGTAAAAACTCCTCCTTCCATAAAACTGCGTTTCGTCGTCTGATGGTCAACACTTTTCTCTTCCACTTGGTTCTTACCTCAGTCCCTGATGGCGTGGCCCCTGGAGAGTCCACCTTACGTTTTTTGCGGGGTCCGATGGCGGCTAACGCTGTAAGGTTTGCGTCTCGCTGCCTCATCTGTGCCAGCTCCTGTTGCTGCATCTGATCAAGTAAAAAGGAAAAAAAAAATATGAGCGCAAACTTTGACATTTGTTGTTGACAGATGTGTGTGTACACTTTGACATTTGTTGTTGACAGATGTGAGCGAATCCACTGTAGTTAATGCAGTTTCACTTCAGTCACTACAATCAGAAAATGATTGGTAGTTTCAACAGGCAACAAAGAAAAAATAGAACAAAGGAATGTTGGAATTTATAGAGTTTTTTTTATTGGGTTTGTTTTCATCTACTGTCAGTATTATTGTGAAAATAATCACACAAAAAAAGGAAAAAAAATCTCCATGTGGTTCGGCTCATGGTGGAAGCTGCTGCTGAATGACCTTCATGACCTTCAAACATTAAGGTGGTTTAAAACAACATGACGTCAGACAGGCTTCAAACTACTTCACTGAATTATTCTTGGCCAACACCACATCTCTCCTGGAATGAAGAAATATATAAATAAACAAACGAAAAATATATATATTTGTATATATTTTTTATTTTATATTTTATTTTTTTTATATATGTGTACACATTATATATATGTATATACATATAAATACATATATAAATATATACACATATATACATACATATATAAATATATATAGGTATAAATACATATATACGTGTATATATGTATGTATATATTTTCATATACATACATATGTAAATGAATAAAATGTATTCATATATACATATATAGCCATATATACATACATATATATATATATATATTTTTATACATATATATATATTGGAGCAGGAGTTTATATAAAATCATGTATGTGATGACGTAGTGGTATCACAGGGTTGGTCCACTTTTCCCCAGCATTAACCAGAGCTCCTGTCGTGGTGATGTGAGTTTTTGTGCGGCCACACGGTCCTATTGTCATATTTGTAGTTTGTGATGAATAAAAGAGGGATTTTTTTTTGTTGATGTTGTTGAACCGTAGCCTCAGGTAATGTCATGTCTGGCTTCAGGACTGAGGGGGAAGCAAGTGATGCTTGGAGCTGCCCTTTGTATTGAGTGGATGTGTGAGGGGCCCGGGGGGGGCCGCGGCACAGAGGGTGTCGACGGTCCCTCTAACATGCAAATGAAAGCGCGCTCTTACACCAGCGTGTGCCTGTCAACGTTGGCCAGAGCGGAGGGAATGCCTACCCACCAGCTTGCCTACACGCCTGCCCGTCGGGGCGAGAGGAGCCTGGGAGGACGAGGCGAACGGGGACAATCCACGTCTGCTTTCATGTTCTTTTATGCTCTCTCACAGCGTGCGTTCACCGGGTTCTGCCCGTGTTTACGCGAGGTGTTTGTGTGTTCTCTGGAAAATTTCACGTTACTTTCAGATGGCGCTGTGTGAAGGGGTTGTTTGGTGTACAAAGTCTGATCTGAAATGTGCATGCAGTTAGCTCTGATTTTTTTTTTTTTTTTCCTCTCCCTAATACCCCGCCAGCAAGGCATGCCCTTTAGGGTGTTGCCACATCACATTTAACACGGCAGAACTGTTGAAAGATTAAAATGCACTGACAACACAAAGTAGGGGGAATAACAGGAGTGGTACCAATGGGCTGAATACCTAAACACAACACTGCATTCCTCATTTAGAACCAGGTTTAGATGCAGACTAACAGACAGTGTAAAGAATTTCACTTATTTCAGGCTTTCGCTGTAGTTTTACTGTTAACTGTAAAAAAGTTATCTACTAAAAATATTAAAAAATTTAGCTGGAGAACAGTGTCAGGAGTGATCTGTGACAGAAGAGTGTGAGCTGAGCTGAAGGGAAAGGTTTACAGGACGGTGGTGAGACCAGCCATGATGTATGGTTTAGAGACGGCAGCAATAGGCAGAAGACAGGAGGAGGAGCTGGAGGTGGAGCTGGAGGTGGAGCTGGAGGTGACAGAGTTAAAGATGCTAAGATTCTCTTTAGGAGTGACAAGAATGGACAGGATCAGGAATGAGGTCATTAGAGGGACAACACAGACAGGAAGGTTTGGAGAAAAAGCTAGAGAAGCCAGATTGAGATGGTTTGGACATGTGCAGAGGAGGGACAGTGGATACAT